GACCAACAGCACCAGCACCACTGTGAACTGGCTAAAAACGCAAATTCTGGGGCCCTTTCCGAGCTCTCCTTCCTGAATCAGCAGCTCTGGAGAAGGAATCCTGCAATCCATGTTTTAACAAGCCCTCCAGGGGATTCTGGTAAACACCAAGGTTTGAGAGGTCTGCTTTAGACCAACCTGCTTGTATGTGGCCTGGCTTTCCCATTCACTAGCTGTGTGAACATTAGGCAAGTTACTTAACCTCTTTTGCCCTCCGAAGAGTCATCCATAAAGTGTGTTCAATAATAGTTAGCCTTACTATATAGGGATGTTGCAAGAATTGAACGAGATGGTCTATACAAAGCTCTTGCAAAATGACTAGCACACAAGAAACTCTCAGTAAATATTAACTATTACCAAAGTTGCTATTCTTTTTTTGTCTTTTTTATGTACAATAATCTTCAATAGATGGGAAGAGGCTAGCCAGATCCCTGGCAGTAACATAGTAACAAGGTATTTCATTTTGGACAAAAAAGGGAAGACCACTCGGTGTCCTATTTACTAAATATCATATTGTAATGAAGCATTCCCAATTTGAAAGGATTTAAATGAATCCCCAAGGGCTCCACAACCTGGTAAGCCCAAATTGAAAGGATTTCACAATCAGCCAGGCATTGATAGGCAAAAAGGTGAGGAGAGGAGAGGAGGGCTTGAAATAGCCATTTGAAAAGTTCTCTAAAGAGCTTTTTAGCGAGGCCTCCTGCTAGCCTTTGTGAGAATTAGCAAAAGCACCTCTTCTGGGAAATTGCCATCCAACAGGTGCTGTGTCCTGTTGAGTGAGTGGATGCTCTTTTATGCCATTGGATCAAAACTTCCACCAGGGCTCGTGGTTTCAGTAGAGAAGGAACTGGATTTGGGCCCTCATGCCCACTCAGCTAGATCTTCTTGTGCAGGGCACAACCTACCTAACCGCGTACAGAGCCCTGACTGTAAATCGAGGACTTAGTCTTTGATTACAATCGATCTCTCCTATTTGACTTCGTCAGAAACAAAGGTTATTGGTAATTGCTTTTGAAGCTTAAAGGAAATGAGCTGAGAATCTGGGAGAGGCTGAACCCCCCCTTCCCTGGGCCTTCATTTACCCCATTCTTTGTTGTTAATAATGCCTACACCTACCTACTTGTTATGTGAGACCCACAGGTGTTGTAAAACTTGAAAGGAAATACCTATCTTCTGGGTAATCCTGAGGATGGAATGAGATTATCTATATGCAAATACCTTGTAAACTGTAGAGAGCTGTTCACATGTAAAGTGGTATTATGATTGCTTTCATTGTCTCTATGGCAGCATCTAATAACACCCCTGCTGTTTCTCCTCCAAAGGGCCCCGCAACTTCCATTATTGTTATTATCATCTTTACTAGTAAATTTTATCATTGTCTCAGTCTTGTGTAAGCACAATTTAGACCTGTTTCTGAGAAAGACATTTCTTCTGACTCCAGTAAGGTGCCAGCAATACTTCTTAATTGGAAACATAAATTTACAAAAAACAAGAAGTGACACACCAGCCAGTAGTAGACTAGCTTTCTCTCCCCTTCCACACACCACCCCCCCCAGCACAATTCCTCACTACCACCCCCACATGGGGTTGTGGTCACTGTTACTGTGAGCAGATCAGACAAAACCCACCTCTCAACTATTTTTTTTATCCCTGCCACCGTATTTTGTACATCACAAAAGGTCCTCTTCTGAAGGTTCACCAGGGGTCCACAGTGTAAGAAGTAGCCTCGTGTCCAGCAGAATAGGGAAGAGGTTCAGCTGAGGTCACACAAGAAAGCTCAGTGCCTTTCCAATCAAGACGGATCACAGCTACGAATACTTTAGCAGTCTCAGTCCGACCAGATGAGAGGGGCTAGAGAATCAGCCAGAGATTTGATCTGGTGTATTCTGTGCTTGGTGTTCTGTAAACTTCCTCACTGCCCTGCTGTCCCAGTCCATACTCACTGGCCTCTGGCTTGGTTTCTCACCAGATCTCCCACTTTTTTTGAGAGAGAGAGAGAAAGAGAGGGGGCACAAGTGACAGAGGGCAGAGAGAGAGAGAGACAATCCCACAAGGGGCAGAGAGAGAGAGAGAAGTGGGGCTCACCCGGACCCCGTGCTCACCCAATGTGGGACTCAAACTCACAAATTGTGAGATCACGACCTGAGCCGAAGTCAGATGCTTAACGACTGAGCCACCCAGGTGCCCCAGCTCTCCCACTTTCTGATGGGACAGGAGAGGTGCCCTGTACCCCAGGCAGCTTGCTTCAAGTCCTGATAGTCCATTTATGTTCATACCCTGGATCCTGCTTCTCATGTTTCTGCTGGCTGAGACACTTCTCTCACCAGGCAACAAGACTACCTTACTTTGAGTCACTGCCCTTCTGCAACTCCTGCTGTCATACCCCACCCGCTGCTGTGGCATGCCTCAGATGCCAACAGCTGGCTATACCAAACGTGAGTGCCACACACATCTTTGAATACTCCACACTGTCAGAGGTCATATGCAGCAGGCTCAGTTGCCGTGCCCTCCTCCCCCACTCGCATTCGGTCTCTTGTCACTGAGGTCCCAGCATGCCCCCTCTGAGTCTGCCCCTGCTTTGCCAGAAACCAGAAGCAAAATCCTGCTGTGCAGAGCTTTGTCTTTGCTCCCTTTTATCTCCCTTTCTGAGTCCCTACTTCACTTCCTGTTGCTGTCCTGTCAGCCCAGGGTGGGCCTCTGCTCCACAACCACAAACCTTCCTCTCTAGGCTTCCCTGCCCACCACCCCCCCAACCCAGCAATCTTAAAATTTCCATTCCTTCAGTAGGCTGATCCATACTGTTACAAAGAAAACAATCTGATTAAACATAGCTATATTAAGACAAAAATGGCAATCTAAAGTAAGGAACATTTATTTGCAGTTTCATTAACTTAAAGCAGGTGGTTCTTAACCCTGGCTGCATTTTCCATGCATCTGGGAAGCTACTGAAAATGCCTTTACTGGTGCCCCACTGCAGACCTCCAGAACCTCTGGAAGTGGCTTTCTGGCACCAGTCATTTTGAAAACACATCCAGGTAATTCTGGTGTGCAGTCAGAGTAAGAACCATCGACCTAAAGGAACACATCTCAAATAGCAGGGCAAGACGATGTACATTTGCTACCTCTCCACCTCAAAGGACTTGTGGGTGGTGAGCACTCAGTCCTAACTTCTCTCAGTCTGACAGCCTGAAGAGCTTCAGCGCCTGGATTTATTTAACATTTCATGGTAGAGGCCAAAATGTCATTTCAAAGAGCATACTATTTAGAAATGGGTGGGATGTGAAACACTCATGGAATGTAAACTTGCAGGAGACACTGGGCTTCCGTGAAGATTTGTAACATATTACAAAGTTATGATACTAAATATGTCAGCCTGTTACTGGCATGACTCCTCCCTGGAAATGGTTTTAGATCTTTAAAAAATAACTCTGTGCTCTGCTTTGAAAGTATCAAGCTCTTTTATGAAGTAATCGGAGCCACGCTGATTGCTTAACATTATAGGATCTTGTAGAAGGGAGCTGGAGACAGACTACTGTAGTTCCTGGAATGAAAACTTCTTGCCCCTATCTTCCCATAATGATCATAATTACGGTCCAATCCAGGGGGACACTTGGAACTTAAAATGGGCTTCTGTTTACAGGCCGGGCTAATCTGGACCATTCTCTAACAAACCCATTGTTATGGTAAGGAAATGCCTGGGACTAGGACTAATCCTAGCAGTAATCAATTTAACAAGTAGTTGCTGAACTGTCCAATTTAAAGTGGCGGAGTGGCCGCAATAGAGAAATGAGCAGTATTCCCACAAATCGCTGCCACTTTCCAGAGAAAGGTAAAGTGGAGATTGGCAAGTTGGAATAGAAGAGCGCCTGGCTGGCTCTGTCAGTGGAGCATGCGACTCTTGATCTGGGGGTTGTGTGTTTGAGCCACACACAGGTCGGGTGTAGAGATTACTTAAAAACAAAATCTTCAAGGGGCGCCTGGGTGGCTCAGTCGGTTAAGCGTCCGACTTTGGCTCAGGTCATGATCTCAGGGCTCGTTAGTTCAAGCCCTGCATCGGGGCTCCGTGCTGACAGCTCACAGCTGGGAACCTGGAGCCTGTTTCAGATTCTGTCTCTGTCTCTCTGCCCCTCCAGTGCTCTCTCTCTCTCAAATATAAATAAGCATTAAAAAAATAAAATAATCTGCAAAAAAAGTTGGAATAGAAAATATCAAAACCAAGTGTCACAAGGGCTTGCCATCAGTATCAGTAAGAGACATCTGATTCAAGAGGACTAGGAAGGACTCCTCTTCCCCCAAATCTACCCAACTCGCTCTGCTGATGGCAGCTTCACTGGGTCATTCCTTTGCTTGACACTTTGTCCATTACCTCTGCAAGAATCACCTTTGAACATAAACCTTCTCTTGGAAGAGGAAAGGTGAAAATGTAGGCAGTCTCCTCATTTTAATATGTTCCTATTTATCAGCTAGGCCCCTCCAAATCAGCTAGTTGGGTGCTGCAAAGAGATAAGCCCTGGTTTTTTTGGGGGGGCGGGGGGAAGCAGAGGATAGAAGGAAGATGCATATGTGAAATGTGATGAAATAGGTAACAAGATCAGACAAAAATGGAGCCATAAGAGCAACCCTCTTTGGCTGATCTGAAACTACTGGGGTTCTAAGGGCATAGAGGGTGTGCAGCTACAGTCACTCTTACAGTCTTCCCCCTACCCAGGTGCTGAGAGTAGGCACTGGAACCCAAGGGCATCTTAACCACCAAGTTCTCTGCACCTTTATTTAGTTCATAAGATGGACTCTGTTGAAACGGGACGGTCTTTGAGCCTGAGTGTGAGTAAAAGAGGGCAAATGCCTGAAAAACTGGGGAGTGATGTGCTATCCCGGGGTGCGAGGGTAGAAAACCTTTTGGAGATGGTCGTATTTTTTTTCCTGGAGCCACGTTTAAACGTCAGCCAGGAGAAAGCACTCACTGCGAATTCTGTCAGCCTGGCGAATCTGCTGGAGAGCTTCCCGAATGCTTTGGCTGTTTCGTCCTGTGCTCAGGACGACCCCTACAGGTAGGCCCCGGCTCTGAAGAGCACTTGCGACTCGATTGGCTGTGTGCACCCAAATGTCTTCATCTGAGGAAATGACTCCAGCGTGAGCCAACTGGAAATATTTCATGACGGTTACCAGCACACGGATGGGAGAAGGGAGTGTCCGAGAAAAGGTCGGATAGCTATTTTTATTGTCTAATTCGTAATTCACACAGGCCCAAGAGAAAATCCCTTTGTCCCAGCTGTTTCCCAAGAGCGAGGCTGCCTCGCAGTAGCCGGGATTGGCAGGTCCAATAAATCCTGAGGCCATCTGGTGGTGAGAAATGAAACTGGCAAGGGCTCCGGAAGTCTGGCAGTCTTCATTGAGAATCACGTATTCAAAAGAGTAACCCAGGTCAAATGATGGGTCCCTGTTGATCCGCTCAGTGGCTAATCGAGCAGCAACCTCAGGCAGAGCTTTTGAGAACAACGGATCACAAGCCCAAGGGCCCACCACCCCTATCTTGTAAGGGGGTCCGCACACCTGTTGCGGGATGGACGTGAGGGCCAGGAGGCACACACACCGCAGGAGCTTGAAAGTTACAAGGCCATGGTGTCTTTGCTGTCTTCTGGGAGCTGCAAACCAGAGCATAAGGTGAAAGAAAGGCCAAGGTCCCAAGAACATAGCCATCCCGCTTCTAGCAAGCTAGTGAAGAGATGTTGGGAGGTTAGTCTGCTTTCCTGAGATGGACAGTGGTGTTCCCAAATGCCTGTCAATCAGAAAAAAAATCATTGCATTATTCCTAAAGCTTCTGGAAATATTTGTTATAAAAGAATGGCAAAGGAATGGCAGTCCCCAAACTGAAAGCTTCTTTCCCCTACCCTGACCCAAACTCTTCTTCCAATACATCCTATATTCCTTATCTCAGTAGATGGCACCTCCATCCATTGTTTGCCCACTTGCTCCAATCAGAAACCTGGTAATCAGCTGTTATTCTTCCTTCTTCTCTGTCCTCACATTCAATCTATCACCGAGTCCCGTTGATTGAACTTCAGCAATAGCTGCCCACCTCACAGTGTTGCAAGGATTGATTACATGGATTAACATCCAGCAAGTGCCTATAACAGGGTCTGGCATGTGGTTAGCATTATATTAGTGATATTATTACGATTATTATAGGTTTAAATATGCCCATTTTTCTCCATCATACTGCCTCTTGGAGAGAGACACAGAAGTAAACAAATAATGGCAACACAGAGTAAAAAAAAAAAAAAGTATGATTGGAGTAGTTCAGCAGGGGAAGATAGAGAGGATCATCCTCCAAACTCAGATTTCATGGGAGGTGAGGAGGGAGGAGAAGGGACTGTGTCTCTCACTCAAGTATTAAAAGAAAAGTTAGCCAGGTAAATAGGGTTATGAGGGAATTGGTGCTAAGTGCCTTCCAGGCAGGAGGAACAACGTACAGTAAGACCCAGAGGTTTTTTTTCTTTTTTAATGTTGTTCAAGAAAAGGATATGTTAGATTCTCAGAATTCCAAGGCATTTGTTCTGCTTAGATCTATGATATCAGCCAAGGCAAGAGCCAGATCACCAACAGTCCTATATGCCATTCATAGGTTTTTAGATTTAATCCCGTAGACAATAGTTTTAATCAGAGAAATGGTATAATCAGATTTCCATTTTTAAAAGATTGCTCAAGTAGCCGTGTGGTGAGCAGGTTGGAAGGGGGTAAGACTGGAAGTAGGGAAACCAGGTTGGAAGCTGTTGTAGTAATTCCACCTGAGAAATGATGATAGACCAAGAGAGTGGTTGTGAAATTGTAGAAGAATGGAGATGAAATCCACCAAGCTTTAAAAAAAAAAAATCAAAGAGATTAAGAAAGTAGAGCCAACAACAACTTGGTGACTGACAAGATGGAGAAGGTAAGGAAAAAAAGGACTCCAAGATGATTTTGAGGCTTTCAGACCTAGGCAACTGGTTGGAAAATGATATAAGTCTCTTGAGATAGGGAACACGGAAGGAAGGGGTGGGCAATATAATGCATTCTATTAGACATGTTGAACTGGCAACGCCTGTAGAATATACAAGTGGCAATAACCAGTGGACAATTTGATACACTGGATCTCATAACAGAAAGCTGAGCTAAAGATATAAATTTGAGTGTAATCAATTGATACAGGATAATTGAAGACACGTGGAAGACTGACAAAAGAGAGTTGTGAAGTAACGAAAGAAGACAGAGGACAAAACCCTGAAAATCCACTTCACTTAAAGGTCAGGCAGAGGGAAAGGAGGTCATAATGAAAACTTACATGAGAAGTCCAGAGAAACAGCAAAATCCAAGAGATGGCATGATATCTTACAATCCAAGGAAGATGAAGCTTTGAGGATGAAATGTGTTTATCACATCTTACACTCCACTGAGAAGTCAAGTAAGCTAAACAGAGAAAAGAATCTGCCCATTGGGTTTGGACCCAGAGTAAAGCTGCAAGTTAAGGGACTACAGTGAGTCAAACATGAATGGGAACTATTGAAATGGAGTCAGTAAATGTAGAGAACTCTCAAGATGATGCATGCAAAGCCTTTCTCCATCTAGCCCTTGCCTTTATACCCCCATGTCCCACTATTTTCACCTGATGCTATAGTAAATTTCTTGCAGTTCTACAGACTTATATCACATAGCCTATCAAGCATAGGATTTGGAAAATGCCATTCCTTCTGCCTGGAATTCCCTCCTCCCACACTCTACTTCTGGCTTCTGATGAACTTTACCTTCAAGACCCAACTGAAGTGTTCCCTACTCTGTGCAGTCTTGATTAACACCCTCAGACCGAGTTTATTGGTTTTTCCATCTGTGTCTCATATTCATACTTCTACCCATTAGAGAAGGTGTCACTCTGATTTATAAACTGTCCCTATTTTGGGTCTATATTGTGACACAGATATTGTTCTATATCTCTTCTATTTATAGGACCCCATACTTTCAACCACAAGGGACGAGTAACAATGAAAGCAACTCCATATGGGAAACAGAGCCCACTGGATTGGGAGCTCCTAGCGGTCTTCTTCATAGTTCTAATGCCTAAGCAAGTTCCCAGCATAGTAGCTATGAGATAAATGTTTGTGAAATAAATTAATAAAACATTAAGTTTGATCCAAGGTCAGAAATAACCTCAGCAGCCATAAGAAGAATCATTTTCTTGGGGGAGATATTAATGAGGAAATTTCTTAGCAAATTTTAATTCCATCCAAAGATCGAAACAATGGCATGGCTTTCTTCAGGGCTGATAATCAGTGCTGGTGTGTACCAGTCAAGCTCAACTGGTTGCTTGTTACCAGCAACAATTCTGCCTGTGCCAGGCCTGTTGGTTATGATTCTTGAGTCTCATTCCTAATTTTATGAGAAAGCCTGACTCCGTAAGAGACTGTCAGGGACACACTTGCAGGATCTTAAAGACCTACTGCAATAGTATACCCCAAAATTTGTAAATAGGTGAAAGTGCGTTAAAACGAGGGTCAAGAAAGACTTAGGAAGGAAATGTCTCCCCAAACACCATGAGCCAGAGATGAAAGGCATATATGATGGAGAGGCAAAACTTCCAACTTTGCTTCCAGGGTGGTGGAAAGGTTCTGGGCTGATTATATCCATAAGGACCTCAAATCTATTCCTAGACCTTCAAAATAATCTAGCCCAATCTCCATCCCCCCAAACAGATTTATTCTGTGTGCTATGTGGAAGGCATGAGGGTGAGATTCACAATGGACGGGGTATGAAATGTAGACTTGGCCTTCAAAGAGCTCCCAGCCTGGCATGACAAGCTGGGCAATACTGTTCCCACCCTCCCTCAACTCCAATCTTTTATCTATCGTGGCAAACCTTGGGAGCCAGGGCACTCTCTGGATAGCATGGGAGAGGTTGATATTTCTGGTCTGTATTGTGACAAGGATATTGAACTAGGTGGTATCTTTGTCCTTAGAGCACCTCACTCTTTCAACCACTAGGAGTGGACAACAGAGAATGTAACTCTATATGGGGAAGAGAGTCCTGTTCACAGCAACAGAGCAATGAGGCCCAACCAACTGCCTCTTCTTCCCCAGACACACCCAGTTTGGTGAGTTCTCTCCCAGAAGTGGTACCTTTGAGCCAGAAATTAGCAATTGGATAGCAAAATCTAAGATTTACTGAGTTCTTGCTATGTATCCAGCACTGGGCTAAACTGATATATTATCTTATTGTAAAAACTCAATAAAAAAAAAAATCACTACAGCCCTTTGAGGCAGGTATGATGATTGCATTTACAGATGATGAGAAAGAGGCTCAGAAATGGTAACTTTCCTGAGGGCACACCGCTGTAGAATGGGGATTTGCAACCCAGTTGATTAAGCACTACAGTAGACAGACTGTTGACAGCCCCTCATCCGTGGAATCACTGAGACCACTATTATTATACCTTCTATGCTACCCATACTGAGTTTGAATAATTCCTTTGTGGTGTTAAAAAATTCCCTTGGTCCCCCATTACATAATGTGGGGCAGAGGCAGAGTAAACTGGAAGGAGAAAACACATTCATTATCCAGCCAGAAGGAATTTACCTGTACTGTTCAAGCCCAGTCTTGGGACAGCTCTCTTACCCCTCAGTCAGGGTTCAGTGTTGCACCACTGGGGGTGGAGGGCACCGGCCACACTGTATTGTATATATAGCTAATCTTAGTGTTTGAGAATGGAGGTCTTGGGAGTACAACCTTTGGAATGTTAGTTCTGATTCTCAATTTCCTCATCTGGAAAATGGAGGTAAATTTAATTTAATGCTTTTGAAGTAAAGGATTAAATAAGGTAGAATGCTGAGCACACAATTGTCTTTCTTTTTTAAAATTATTTTTGAGAGAGAGAGTGCAAGCAGGGGAGGGGCAGGGAGAGGGGGACAGAGGATCTGAAGTAGGCTCCAGGCTATGAGCTGACAGCAGCGAGCCTGATGCGGGTTGAGACCCGCATCAGGCTCTTGAACTCACTAACTGTGAGATCATGACCTGAGCCAAACTCGGACACTCAACTGACCAAGCCACCCAGGCGCCCCAACAATTGTCTTTCAATACATACTAGTTCTTTCTTGCTGTTTAAAGACAGGACTGCACTGGGAATCAGAAGGCCTGGGTCCTGACCCCAGTTCTGCTACTGACTTGCCATGTGATATTGAACATATCATTCCTCCTTTCTAGATCTCTCTTTTTTCCCCTCAGCTGGACTAGAGGATCTGCAAGTCCCTTTCTTCTTAGATATACACTGATCCTGGGACTCTGTACTTCCAGGCAGTGACTTTATTAAACCTCTGCACTGTTAACCTACTTTCTGAATTCACTCAACATTCTCTAGCCTTTGCTGTACTAATTAGTTTTTTACTAGTGTCATATTCCCACAAGTGGTTTGTACTTACTTCTATCTGGCAGATCCAGTTCCTGATTGTTTTATAACTCTGGTCTAGAATCCTCTATCAAAATACCTACAATATGAAGTGTGACTGCCCCCCCCCCAATGTTGGAGTTATGCTACACTGAAAATCTGGGTCCCTAAAGCCATTCATTATCTTATTGTCATTATTAACAAGTGTACATCACGAACCTGGTTTGTGCCAAGCCTGAAACCAGAAAATTGGGAAAATATATGGCCTGAAATTTCACTAAGAAAT